ATTAAATTATGGATAAGTGATATTGATAAAATAAAATAAAAATCTCACGTCGACCGTTTTTGTCTTTATTTCAATCATCCGTAATATTTTCATTTTTTTATGAAATTATTTGAATCTTAGATAATGATGTGTTGAATACTGTAATATATATTCCTTTTCGGTCGGTTTTTGTAATAACTGACCACCAACACGTTTTTGTCAGTGATCAGAAAGACCGTTTCAGTCAATATTTCAATAATCTATCATTTTTTCAGTTTTATGAAATCATTAAAATGTTGGATGGGATATGTACAATATGCATTTCTATAATATGCACTACTGTGGACGCTACTGACAAAAGAAACGCTTTGGTTGGTAATTAGTAGGGCCGTCTTAAACAAACATTACGCAAGAGGTAAATCTGCCTATTGCAGGTCTTTCGTCAGGCCTGAAATGTTATATAAATTATTAATTAGACATTAATTAACTTATCCAGGCCATAATCAACTCTCGATGCCATCTTATCTGTGTAATTTTCATTGGATTTGAATCCGATCTGCTATTCAATGTCCGTTGATGATTAAACGCAAAACTGGATAATCGAGACTTTGTTAAATATCGTGACAGTGCTAACAATGACAATCGAGGCTACAAAGATTTTAAAATAAGGTTTTCTCGGCTTAGAGTGAAGCAATTTGACTGAAATTTTCGGCATTTTCCCTTTACGTCATCTAGGTTTTAACTATTATAGTGACAACTGTCAGCTTTTTATCTAATCTTACCTAATGTATCTTTAAAATTAGTGTTTCTCGTACCGCCAGTAGGTAGGCCTATCAAAGCAAATCTGTAATTTCTAGTTGTGGATTATTGCTCTGGTCAAAAAATTATTCACAAGGCATTTATTGGGCTATAAGTTGTAATGTACGTTTCAGAAAGTTCTATCCTCCAACTCTTAAAAACAAGGTATGTAAAAAAAAGTTCTTCGGGACTTTCCAGTCGGGTTTCGCCTTGTCAGTGTTGCAGTTCGGAGGACAGGGCAAGGAGAGGGCATCTAGTCGTACGGATAGGTCGAAAAACGGAATTCTGCCAGTTAACATGCAGGTAAAGAAATCCTTATCAAATGGAATTCGATAATGAATAATGATTATTAAGTTTTGACAGAATGTGGAAGGGAGACAACTCCATTTTGCCATTTTGGGCCATCGTGTGAGTAATCCACCTTGAACAAATTTTTTCCGCTCTCGAAACTGTAAGAAAGCAAGTTTAAAATAACCCAAACGAGATTTAATGGTGACCTTTATTTTCTATTAGTTTGCAGTATATACTGATGGAATTTACAATTAATGTTATAAACGAATTATGAATGATAAACTCTTCCCATGTAATATCCGGTAAAACAGTTAGATATCGAAAAATTTGTTTTTCAGAGGAAATGTGGACAGTTCTATTAGTAATTACCATTAATTTATCACTGTCATTTCTGGGATTGCTGAGACATGTATGTATATATAGCAATGTCTAAATTAAGAATTTCTAAAGATTCTTTAGGTAAGATTAGATAAAGAGCTGACAGTTCTCGCTATAATAATTTCAAAATAGATCATGAAATAGGAATTTCTTGAAAATTGAAGTCAAATTGTTTCATTCTCAGCGCAGTTATCCCAGTTTGAAGAATAGCGTAGTCTCGATTTTCATTGCTACCGTTATTACGATTATAAACAAAGTCTCGATTACCCATTTTTAAATGAAATTATTAAATGGCCATCGTCGTGTTTGGATCCGTTCAAAATCACAAACATCCGATGGTCTAGAGAGTTGGTTATGGGCTTGGCAGGTGAATTAATGTCTAATTAATAATTGATATCAAATTCCAATCTGATTAAAATACAGATCTACATTTTGTTTCGTTTTTTATACTTTCGATGGCCTCTACTACATAAAGATCTGACCAGTTGTAGTGGAAGGTCGCCTCAGAGGTTATACGAGCGGCTTTTGGCCCTATGTTGTCAGACATTTAATTAACCATTCAACGGTGATGTTTCGAGTGGGTTACCCACAGTTTCGTGCAGCAACTCACGCCAAAAACTCGCCGTAACAGATCGTTCCATTGGCTAATCCCTCACATCATCCAGAACGCGGGTTATATAACAACTCTTCCAGATCCTAGTGTAGTAAAGACAAGTAAAATGAAAATTTTAACTATAAAAAACGAAATAGTTTGCAAGTTATTCCTGTTGATTTAAATGGCACATTGTGACTTTAACTGCAACGTTTCATTGAGGGTGCTCGTCGTTATCAAGTAACCTCACTGAAACGTTGCAGTTAAAGATACATTATGTAAGATTTAGATAAAGATCTAGCCATTCTTGCTATAATAGTTCGAAAAGAGATAATGAATAATTTGAAAATTTCATTCAAATTCCTCTATTGCGAGCGAAGATATTAGCCTTTAAAGGTTTGACAAGACGTGTGGAAAAATTTCAGGCACCGTACTGGATGTTCGAAGTTAAGTTTCGCTCCTCTATTTTTAAAATAAATCAAAATATGTCTGAACCGTTCTAATCTATTTAATATCAGAGAAATCAGATGCCATCGAGAGTTGATTATGGCCTGGATAAGTTAATTAATGGCTAATTAATAATTTAGAAAACATTTGAGGCCTAAAGAAAGACCTGCAATGGGCAGATTTAGCTCTTTCATAATGTATGTTTAATAAACTTAGTGAAAGATATTCATCAAGTTGTCTCAATGCCTGTTGGGGGGTTGGATGGCCGAATGGTTAGCACGTGCGCGCTGTATCATAAAGTCTGTCATTGAGTCAACTGGCGGGGTTTCGAATCCCCGGTTGTACGTGACAAGGAGTAGGGTCGCCTGTCCAACCTCGTGGGTTTTCTCCGGGTCCTCCGGTTTCTCCCCACTGCTAAAGACCCCTACGCGCAAGCGAATTATTGAAATAAAATTAAACCATATGTTAGTCCCGAAATGGCCTAGTTTGTGTCGAGTGGACGTTAAACCCCATTTCTCTCTCTCTCTCAATGCCTGTTAAAGGTAAGTTGAATGGTTTTATTTCAACCTCATATCTCAATACTAAATGGTAAAATATTCAAAATTATATATGTGTTAAAGATGCATTATGTAAAAGCTAAATCAGCCTATTGTGGGGCTTTTTTCTGGTTTCAAATCTTATATAAATTATTATAGACATTCTTATTTAGCCTATAATCAACCCCCTAGATGACCGAGATTTAAATGGAATTGAACTCCAGTGAGATATACAGATTTAACGATAAAATGGATAATTAAAATTTAGTCTCGGTTGTCAATTTCCATTGCTACCATAAAAATTATCTGCGCAACATCTTCAATCAGTGATAACTACGCCCAGAATAAAGTTATTTGAATGAAATTTTCAATATGTCCATTTTTCATTATCTATTTTTTAACTATTATAACAAGAACGACCAGCTCTTAATCTCAGTCGTACATAATGCATTTTTTACAATAACGATATTAACTTACTGTTCATTTCCAACGTTTCACGTGTCTTATACCTGGAGGGCAAACAATATAACGATACTTGCAGCCACAGCGTAATACCGGAAAATATAACCTGAAAAATAATGTTAATATTGTTATACAATCCATCAAAGAGAGAGGGGGGTGTAAAGTCCACTCGACACAAACTAGGTCATGTTGGGACTAACACATGGCTTGCGTATTGGGCGTTTAACAGATATGAGGTTTAACGTCCATTCGACTCAAACCAGGTAATTTCGGTACTAACATATGGTTCAATTTTGTTTCAATAATCGAAACCACCCAGTTGACACAATGATTGATCTTGTGATACAACGCGTACGCGCTAGCCATTCGGCCATCCAAACCCCTAGCACAAACAGTAACGTGCACTATTTTTTTCCTAATTAAATGAAGTAAAATGGGGTTTAACATCCCACTTGTTTTGCACCGACTGGGCTAATGAAGACGGACATACGCCATACAGTGTCTAGGCGGTCGGATAGTATGGAAAACCGAGGTCCCGTGTACCCACTGGCGTACACGTAAAAGAACCCATTGAATTCGACATAAGAGTAGCGCCTCTGCACGAGTGTATTAGACTAGGGCAGAAAACTAGGAGTTTTTGCGCCCCTTTTAGTTTTTGTGCCCTCTCACAAATGGCAAAAAAATCATGCGGTTTCAATTCGGTTTTCAACATTATAATCATAATCATAATACTTAACCGTGGGTCAGATATTCTACAAATCGACTCTATAGCATGTTCCACAAAGCCCAATATTACACGGCGGCAATATTTGTTTTTTGGGGACCCGGACGGGATCATGTTCCTCATGTAAAACCATTGGTCACCATGCCCCTGTTATTCCTTTAGAGCAGTGATTCTCAACCAGTGTGCCGCGAGATCTTCCTAAGTGTGCCGCGAAATTCTGAACGGCACACTAAGAAAATTTCTCACAAAAGAAGCCAGCTATGTGACTGATGAAATTCGAAACACTGCAATAAAGTAATTTCATAGCTGTGTTTGTCTTTATTTAGTTTGTCATTCTGTGTCTATAACTAGTTCGTGTCTACGGTTGTATGCCGTCTATGACTTGCCATGTTTTTATTTTGCAAAATTCAAATATTTTTTCATATATATTTAGCCAGGTGTGCCGCTATTTTTCCATGTGATCCTATATGGTTCCGGTACATTACTTCCGGGAAAATCAGCGCGAGGATATCTTTGGCGGCACCCCGTTTATGGACATTCATTGAAATGATCATTACCGACACGGAAAACAAGATTTGAAGGATTATTATAAAACATATTTACCGGAGTCAAACCACTTAATGTTATTTGTTAAAAAAATGACAAAAATAAACTTGTATGGTCAAATTATTAATGTTCATTAAGTTGGTTATTGGCATCTTGCTTTTCCGTTTGCTCAGAAAATGATTAATGTTATTAATAATAAATATTTTTGGTCACGCAGTTTTATACAGTCTTCCATAGAATAGCCAACCTGAGAGGTGAGCTGAAATGATAATAAAGTTCCAAAACAGTCCAAAACATGGATAACCACCCGTGGTAAGTCGTTTCGTTTGGAGGCCAGTATCCGGTTTTGATCTGTAGTCTTCATTCTGAAAGGTGAAAGGATAAAAATAGACCACTACGTTTCCTGTATATATTGAGAAATATTGAAGCGAGAGAAATGGGTTTTAACGTCCACTCGACACAAACTAGGTCATTTCGGGACTAACATGTAGTTCAATATTATTTCGACAATTCGCTTGCGCGTAGGGGTCTTTAGCAGTGGGGGGGGACTCAGTTGTTGTTCTTAGTGTTTAACGCCTGTTTCCACCGAAGGTGATATCGCAGACAAGTCTTATTTGTTTTAATTTTTATTATCTTAGCGCACGCGCAGGGGTCTTTCCTGTGGGAGGAATCCGGAATACCCGGAGTAAACCCACGAGGTTGAGACGGCGCCCCTATCTCCAAGCCACATACGCTCACACCAGAGATCGAAACCACAGCCACAGATGACCCTACTCTTTGTCAAGGTGGGGAATCGAAACCACGCCACGTGACTCAATGACAAACCTTATGATGCAACTCGCACGCGTTAACCATTCGCCTCCGAGGAACATTGAATCGCCAATGTTTAGTTTTATAAAACGTTGATATAATCACGAGTGTAAAGAGGTCGGGAATACTGTGTAATGAGTCCGATAACTGTAATGAGTCCGATAACTGTTTCCGTTTGGGATCATTAGGTAAGAGAAATACCGTTGGAAACTTGAATTTTCGAAATGGACTTCATTTTCCAAGATGGTTGACATTTCGACCTTTCTATAGCAGAATTTTACCCACTGGACCGATTTTAGACACCGATATTTTCACTTTCAATGAAGCAGGGTATGCTTACCCTTCCTAGAATATCTGATACCACTTCTTGTTTGGGTGGTCCACATAGTCAGCAAACTTTAGAGGGAATAAATGAAATGAAATGGGGTTTAACGTCCTACCGTTCTGCTCCGACTGGGCTAAATAGAGAGAGAGAGAGGGGGGAGAGAGAGAGAGAGAGAGAAATGGGGTTTAACGTCCACTTGACACAAACTAGGTCATTTCGGGACAAACATATGGTTTAATTTTATTTACATAATTCGCTTGCGCATAGGGGTCTTTAGCAGTGGGAGGAAACCGGAGAACCCGGAGAAAACCCACGAGGTTGGACAGGCGACCCTACTCCTTGTCACGTACAACCGGGGATTCGAAACCATGCCAGTCGACTCAATGACAGACTTTATGATACAGCGCGCGCTAAAGAAGACGGGCATATGCCAGACAGCTGACGGCCTACTCTTATATCGAATTACAACTGACAAGGGATCTCTTACGCGCATGCCAATGTGTACACGGGACCTAGGTTTTTCGTCACACCCGAACGACTATATGTTGTCCCTTGCCAGGCCCACTGTTTTGCGCTTTAGCGAGAAAAACAATCTTTCAGACTTACATAATAAATGCCAAGCACCATACAGGTATGGCGACAATTCCTGATATAAATCCAATAAGTTCTGTTGGTCCTTCCACGCAACTTGTAAACGCATGCCAGATACTCTGTATACCATCTTCACAGGAAATCTGTCGTCCATTGATTGCTGTTTGAAAATATTGGTATTGCCGTAAATAATCCTAAAATGAAAATAATTGTTTGTGATTCTTGTGACATTTAGTGGACATAGTAAGGCACATGGTAACCTCCGTGAGACCATAGACCGTGTACAGATGGACGGGCAACCTCCACGAAGCCTTTAGAATTCTATGCCGCGGCAAAAGTAGACCGGACTATCGTGACTAAAATAAAATTACCTCCCCTCGCATAATTACCAGTATTAAGTTTAAAAGTAAAGAAACAGAAATCAATTCATAACATTTTTTTTTAATCTTGCTACTCTTTTTTTGCAACCCATACATAGATGGACTACTAACTGATAATTGGGGTGTAAATGTATCAACACATCGTCTTTCGTTACTTCCAAACAATGACAGACTTTAATCCGAAAAAAAACCATTTCGAGTTTTCGTTAAAAACAAACCTACTAAAACATTCTTTTAATTTTTACTTCTGCACAATTAATCATCATTCCGGACAGTATTATACCTGAATTTTATTTTCATAATTTTAAAATCCTTCACACATGCGGGAATTTAGAGTATTAAGCAAAACCAAAATGCTTACAAAAACTACGAAAATATTAAAATCGATCATTTGACAATTTTCAACTGCTGCATTTGGAAATTTCAAAGTTCTAAACTGGAGAAATTCGTCACTACCGGATAGGAATACTTATGGGTTGAAAAATTACCATGTATCTATAAGAATTTTGTAAATTCTAAGGAGGAGTTCGAGAAATTAATCTGTATAAAATCCCGCAATGTGAAAAATCACATTGCTTGATTTGCCGTTGACATCGAGATCTCGTTGTGAGCGGCAGAGAAATTAACCAACGGGACTCGTTGCCTGCCCATCTATATACGGTCCATGGTGAGACTATTGTAGAATTTGAAACAATAATAGCATTATATAAATATTATATCTTTAACTAATTATTGGGTTCGCATACATGTATTAAAGAGAAGTCATATCTCACACACTCAAATGGATGGATGGGTGGGTGACACGTTAAAAGATTTATAAAACCAAAACATAGCTGGTTCTGTGTGAAAACAAAATATCACCATCACTTATGGTAACATAATTACTATTGCATCATTTGGTATAGCAACCAATCATTATAATTAATTGCGTCATATTTAGCCAATTAGATAATTGAAAGCCGAAACCCAAGGGTAGAAAACCATCAGAGCCCTGGGCTATTGTTAGACAAAAGCCCAATTCTTAGAGAGGGTAGACAACAAGTCTGATACCTCCTGGGTTCTTTAGACGACCCTATGATGTAGCAGGTTCCTGAGCCAGGCCACGCTGGTAAGATTTTTACAGGAGTTGGAATTGAGAGAAAATATTGTAATGTAACATACGCCTGTAGCCTATGTGTCCCGTGCTTGCCATAAAACAAGTAGAAACGAACTGTTGCATTGTTATTCCTGGTAAGACAGACATCTTAACTATTTAGACAGTAAGAAGAATATACACAACGTGAGTCCTAAGAAGAGAATAAGAAAGAAATATAACTAGAGACAACAATACTAGACGACCGCAAGACTATTAAAATATGTATCAGAAGAGAGTATGCCTCACACGTTGGATGTGGGGAGTTTTTTGGCTTACTGGCTTTCCACATCTAGCCAGCGATTCATAATACGCATAGTACTACACTCGAGAATTTGCCCATCTCACCGAAAAATTAAGAAAATGGTGACATATCACCGTTCCTAATTCAACATTTAATTTATCCACCTGGACGCGAATGGTAAACTCCAGCCCACTATTCCACTGCTAAGGATGTGTCTATGAAGTTGTGTGTTAGTGTGATATCACATATGTTGGTGAAACCCGACAGACCCTACCTAAAAGACTCGTCCAACATCACTCAAAGTCCTCCACAGCAGAATCAGCAGTTGCTCAACACCTTCCGTCCAATCCAGGCCACTAAATCCATTCGTCTAATACCCTAGCACTCAACCAACACAACGAAAAGACACGGAAAATCATGGCAGCTATACATATCAGGAGATCCAAACCAGACCTTAATCGCGACACAGGAATATTCCTCCCAAGAGCCTATGATGAACTAATTCTAAACTGATTTATACATGCCTAGACTTTCCTACGCGCTTAAGTTCATATAATTCGTGCATCACGTGTATCTGTGAAAATAATTGTAATCCATTTGTAGAACTACATTTAATAAGACATAAGACATGGAATGTGTGTGTCTATTGGGAGGACGTATGTAGGACTATAATTATTTAGGAGCATGTGGTTAGGACTGTGGTGTGGCTTTCTAATATTTCATAATTTATCAATTATATCCCACTTATTTATGGTCTTTTATTTAATGATCAGTTAGTAAACCAGTTAACTGTTTCTTTTATTTAACCTGTGCATATATGTGTGTATGTCAATCGGATGGAAGAATGTAGGACTATTATTAATATTTTTACTTAGGAATATGTGGCTTGTGCGGTTTTGTGTGCATTTTAATACTCATATTTTATAATTCAATTGGCCGAGAAAGTTCATCTAGATTTTCCGACGTGGTTTCCTCTTGTCAGTGGTGCAGAACGGAGGGCCTGACAAGGACAGCTGTCTAGTCCTTCGGATGGGACGAAAACCGAGGTCTCGTGTATACATTGGAATGTACGTAAAAGATCCCTTGGAATTCGATATAAGAGATCCGAAAGTGCCGCTGCCCGGGTACAATTTCCCCCATAGTACTTTATGGCGTATGCTCGTCTTCATTAGCCCAGTATAGGAGCAGAACAGTTGGACGTTAAACCCCATTTCATTTCATTTCATTTATAATTCATTTAATTATGGTCTAACTATTTAATCCCCATGTAGTTTATCTGGAGTTACTACTTCTCTGATGTTTAGTATCATGTATGGTTTCCCTTTGTATATGTTATTGTTATTACCTATTATCAGTCTTTTACCAATCCTTTGATGTACCTTCACCTAGCCCATCACCTCGGGTATGGTTTCTGATTTGTCATTTTGGTTGTCTAATTAAAAATTATTTACCCCTACAGGGTCCAAACCCAAGAACTCTGAGTTAGTTAGCCAGCGTTTTACCCACAGCGCCACCGTGGATCACCTCAAGCCATTGAAGTAGAAATGCGTCATTTTTGCTTTTTTCGCTAAAATATCAAATTTCTTTCGGCTTAATATGTAATCAGGGTTGATTATTTAATATTTAATTCAGAAATCAAATTATCAAAAGCTAGATAATCTATCGGCTTGGATTCAATCGGATTTAAAACGGGTCCATCTATTCTATATAGATCGAAAACAATTTCAATTCACCATATCTTTGTAAATATTGAATAGAGTTGGAAACATTTTTGGATAGATATTCCTATTAGAGGGGGATCACGTGGGTAAGACGCTTGCTCGCTAGCCTGGGGGTCGGGTGTTTTATCCCTGCATTAGCCGAGAAAGTTCATCCAGATTTTCCGGCGTGGTTTCCCCCTAGTCAGTGATGCAGGACGGAGGGCCTGACAAGGACAGCTTCTAGTCGTTCGGATGGGACGAAAAACCGAGGTCTCGTGTACATATTGGCGTGCACGCAAAAGATCTCTTGGCAGTTGGAATTCGATATAAGAGTAGGTCGTAGCGCGAGTGCCCGGGAAACATTTCCCTCATAGCAGCATGTGGCGTATGCCCGTCTTCATTAGCCCAGTTTAGGAGCAGAACAGTAGGACGTTAAACCCCATTTCATTTGATTTCATTTTTTTTCCTATTAGAGATTCATCTTTCATAATATTGTAGCTTGCAAGGAATTCCTGACGTGATGTTAGTAATAGAATCGTTAACTAAACTTTATAAGGTTTCAGAAGGCTATTTGGACTCGTCGCATCTGAAAACGGCGACATTCTGGTATTTGCGTTCTACTTTCGGCATATCGTGTATCAATCGGGGAAAGTGCGGGGATGCGAATAGATACGAAATCATAAGATGTCCCTCTTGTCAATATTTGATTGGAACAGAGTTTACCAATTGATCTTGTTTCGTACAATAACAGTGCTGTATTGATTTCGTCTTAAAATACGAAACAATCATTGAAGTTTAACTTTTGTTGTCTGACTGACGTAAAGCAAATACAAAACGAAGGTTGTCAGTGTTTAGAACTAAATTAAGAAACCGCGAAGCTGCAGAAATATCTCAAGAAACCCATTTTCTTTGATTGCTGAACACCTTTAAGTGTTTTGGACGGTTAAATTATTATTTTATGTTATTTGAGCTCCGTGTGACGTAACGCATAATACACAACTGAAGTGAATTAAATGTAGGTTAATGTAATTGTGCTAAGGAAAGTCAGTGTCTTAGAGGGTAATTTCTATTTCACCGTTTTAAAAATATACGGGCCATAGTTGTATTCGTGTCATTTTACAGTGAAACATTGAATACCACACCGGTATACCACCAATAACAGAGAATGGCAGACTGAATTATCGCACTTCTAACGATTCACCCTTTGTAGAACGGTTATCAATCTGGAGGCAGACCACCATTAAATTTCACCGTCTCGGTACCCACAAATTGTAGTTCGTCTATTTATTGTCTGCAATTTCCCCATTGACTCCAATGTTAATTCTGACATAATAATAATAATTGATTTATATAGCGCCAACAATTCAACTCAGCGAGCTGCTCTCGGGCGCTTTACATAAGTACAACTAATATAAAATTACAACAATCACAACACATTTAATCCATACAAAAAAAACGGAGAACATTATTTAGTACACATGGTAAAAGTCGAACACAAACACAGCTAGAACCGTATTCAATCAGTTGAAAATTTGATTAAAAAGTTCGGTTTTGAGATACAAACAGACACACAAACGACAATCACAAATATGAGTATAGATATATTATGCTGGGGTGTCAGTAACAACGAGTAGGATCACCTGTCTAACCTCGTGAGGTTTTCAAGGGTCTTCTGGTTTAGCCTCACCGTGACTCATTGTGTATGAATGAATGAATGAAATGGAGTTTAATGGCACGTCAGCTCCAACCGGGCTATATTGCGCCAAGACTCATTGTGTAATCAAACTTCGAATCTCGAGGGTATGCATCTTTAAATATCTTCAGTAACTCTCTTAAAGGGGCATTATGGAAGATTAGATAAAGAGCTGGAAGTTCTCATTATATATAGATAAAAACTAGATAATGTAAAGGGAGTATGCTGAAAACTTCAGTCAAATTGATCCAGTCTGAACTGAGATAATAGCGATTGAATTTTAGGCCTAGTCGGTACGATAAAAACATAGTTTTTATTTTTGGATTTAATCATCAATAAGCGTTGATCGGATTCAAATCCAGTGAAAACCCGACACATAAGATGCCGTTGAGAGTTGATTACGGTCTTTTCATGTTCATTGATGTCTAATTAATAACATTTCGGGCCTAAAGAAAGACCTGCAATAGGCAGATTTAGCTCTTGAACAATGCATGTTTAATTGATATTTGTCAATGAGGTTCAGTGCACTCCAACAGTGTATTAGTTTTCTATATTTCTAATCCGCTAAATATCGCAGGCTAGCGATGACATCGAGAGTTGATTAAGGGCTGGATAAGTTAATAAATGTCTAATTAATAATTTATATAACACTGGTATATTCGAGACTTAGCCTGGCATTCCCAATTTTAAATTAAATTTTTAAATGGCGAACCGTTCTCATCTAGTTAAAATCTCGAGTATCCGATGCCATCGAGAGTTGATTATGTCTAATTAATAGTTTATATAATATTACAGGCTCTTGCATAATGTATGTTTAATATAATGATGTTAATACAACTTGCACGATCTAAATCAATGTTTTAATTACATTTTAAGAACATATAATTAGTGCCCTGTCAATTAGCTTTCAGTTAGTCCCTGGTGAAAACGTACGACAACGTGTTAGAAGACAGATTTGGAAAACATCAGGCAACAATAAGAATTTCGATAATGTTTTAATTATTTTTTTCAGTATATACGTTGGTCGTAATCCTTCTTCTCACATATTGGAGCTTTTCCAAACCAGGGGCTTGGATGGCCGAATGGTTCGCGTTGCATCATAAGGTCTGCCGTGGTGTCAACTGGCATGGTTTCGATTCCCCGGTTGTACCTGACAAGGAGTAGGGTCAAATCCTCGCTCTCTCTCTCTCTCTCTCTCTCTCTCTAAATCATGAATTTATAAAGTATATTATGGATGATAAAAAGAAACATTATGTTGGTTTATAATGATATGGGAAAAGGATGATGGGATAATACGAATATTCAACTAACCCCTCCTTCATAACGACCATAAGAGTAGATTTTAGTTTAGTTATTAAATATAAAATCCTTATCAAATGTGCACGTTCTAGTGCGGATAATAATGACAGTGAAATGGATTCCCTGTAACCCTGGCTAGGGTATATCAGTGGTTTCTGGCGGGATATTAACAAATTAAAAATGCAAAAGCGCCCGTTTATCATATAGTTTTACACTAGGTTTTGGGTTTGGATCAGCGCGGAGATACACTAATCGAAATAGAATGTCAAGTTTTGGCTTTGGGTGTCTTCAATCGGTAACTCATCAAGATAGAATCATCGAATATACATCGTTCATTTACCGATGAGCATTATTAAACTTTCTGGGGGCCTTCTGTTAGATGCTCTTGCGTTAAGCTCGACTCGTCAAAATAAAATAGATAAATATATATATTGCTGAGTACAAGAGGGAAATTCGCGCCCTTGGAAATACTGATTACTTTCTGAAAACCTCTCACCTCTGAACTCCACATTAGCATTGAGTAATATAAACATTCTCGCGGGGGGAGGGGGTGCACACGCAAGTGTATCCTCCTCATCTGGTGGATGCCGCTGAAGAAATAAAAAGTATCTGGAGACCTTGCTTTACAACTGTTAGAATGGATTTTTCTTGTCTTTCGGTTTCTCAAAATTAGCGCCCCCCCCCCCCACACACACACACACATTTTGCAATATTTAGAGTTATTTTATGCTTTTAACCCCCGAATACCCTCTTAGCTTAGGCCGCGTGAGTAAACCTTTAATATATCTGTGACGTAAAACAAAAATATATTTCGCATTCACAACAATATATATATATATTATTCAACTTACTGAAAAGAAATCTGTCATTTTCTACAACCCCTACAACAATATCCTCAGCTACATCAGGTGTCGATAACATGATATAAATATTCACAATATAAGATCAACTATATATATTTATATATATAAATAGAATCAAGAATGTTATATATATATAAGTAGTAAAATATCTAAAATTAACCGATATTGGCGGGATGTATTGATTAATCAAAACCTATACTATTTTTTTTATTATTGATATAACCCTGTTTCATCCTTGGATAACCACGATCCATAAAACAGATGTTGGAGTACGATATGAAATAATTTATCATAAAAAAATACATGGCTTTTACATGGATATAATCAATATTCGACATTTATCTCCGATTAAACTTTATAATTATTTCAAAATGTCTTCAACTGTTTTTCTTTTCTCATGCGTAGAAATACGAACACGTGGACATAAAATTTTCAGATAGACTCAGAAAACAAACAGCAATTAATTCAGAATGTATAAAAATGTATAAAAAAGCGTAAAAATGCGAATGGGGGGTCATTTAAGTCCAAGCAGATGTTATCAGAAAATAAACATTTCTCCAATTCGGGAAAAACTAGTACCAATTAGCAAAATTTCGTGAAAAACTAGTAGCAGTTAGCAACATTATTATAATAAATTTACGTACATAAGATTATAAATAGTTTAAGGCTTACTTGACCTCCAAACAACCGGAGACCAATTTCTAACCATGTCAAGGTAACTGCGGTGGTTCAGTGGGTATAACGTTTGCTCGCTAGCCTGGTTGGAGGTCCCGTGTTCGATCCCGGTGTTAATCCGACAAAGTTCATAGGAATTTGGGGGGTTGGATGGCTGAATGGTTAGCGTGTGCGCGCTGTATCATAAAGTCTGTCATTGAGTCAACTGGCGTGGTTTCGATTCCCCGGCTGTACGTGACAAGGAGTAGGGTCGCCTGTCCAACCTCGTGGGTTTTTTCCGGGTCTTCCTGTTTCCTCCCACTGCTAAAGATCCCTACGCGCGAGCGAATTTTTGAAATAAAATTAAACCATATGTTAGTCCCGAAATGACCTAGTTTGTGTCGAGTGGACGTTAAACCCCATTTCTCTCTCTCTCATAGGGATTTTCCGGCTTGGTTCCCCCTTGTCAGGAGTGCAAGGAACGGCGTATAGTCGTTCGGATGGGACGACAACACATGCACGTAAAAGAACCCTTGCCAGTTGGAATTCGAAATAAGAGTAGGCAGAAGTGCCGCTGCCCGGTCAAAATGTTAATCATAGCACATTGTATGGGGTATACCCTTGATCATTAGCCCAGTCTTAGCAGAACAGTAGGACGTTAAACCTCATTTCATTTCATTTCTTGGGGATCACGTGGCTATGTGGGTAAGACGCTAGCTCGCTAGCCTGGAGGTCGGGTGTTCGATCCCTGCATTGGCCGAGAAAGTTCATCCAGATTTTCCGGCGTGGTTCTCCCTTGTCAGTGATGCAGGACGGAGGGGCTGACAAGGAAAGCTGTCTAGTCGTTCGGATGGGACGAAAAACCGAGGTCCCGTGTACACATTGGCGTGCACGTAAAAGATCCCTTGGCAGTTGGAATTCGATATAAGAGTAGGCCGTAGTGCCGCTGTCCGGGCAAAATTTCCCTCATAGCACACTGTATGGCGTATGCCCGTCTTCATTAGCCCAGGTTAGGAGCAGAACAGTAGGACGTTAAACCCATTTCATTTCATTTCATTTCATTTCTTGCCATGTCAAACCACCGTAGTCTCAATGGATATTGAATATTGATCCAATAGACCTCAAATATCTTATATTTTATATTATCGCGTAATAGGATTATAGCTCCTTTTGGTGTTTGTTGCTGACAGCTGTCTTGACGAGTTTTGTTGGTTTATCAAATCAGTTTTATTTAATTCAACAACATCTGTGTATTGAATGGAGAACAACAGAACACGTGTGTTTCATTCAAATATTAAAACCCATTATTCTGTTTGAATGACATACATGGATCTGTTTATATTTATGTACAAGTCGTATCCCCTTATCGAATAATTCAAGTTTCGTCCAATTTCATTTATTAAATTGCTCTATATTTTGGATTTGGTAAGAACCACTCAATTGATAGGCATTCTAGTCTGCATACGTAAAATGTAGGATTATATATATGATCGCGACAGATATCAAGCAATTATTCAAATTTCAAATTTAGTCAAACAATATAGACATGAAATGTTGCAAAGCGTTATTTCGGTTTGTAACATGTAAAATGAAATTTGTGTCTATAATTAAGTTATCCGGGTTATTTTTGATCGAAAGAGCTATCGTCTGTCACCTAATAGAATTGACAGGCCTTATTTGAAAATTTAATATCTTTAACTTATTGCAGATATATTGCAATATTAATGAAATGAAATTGGATTTAACGTCATACTGTTCTGGTCCGACTGAGGTACTGAAAACGGGTATACACCATACAGTGTGCTATAAGGGAAATTTTGCCCGAACAGCGGCGCTTTGGCCTACTCTTATTTCAAATACGAGCTACATGCCCATGTGTACACGCCCCATTCAAACGACTATACGTTGTCCCTTGCTAGGCCCTCGGTCCTGCACCACTGAGAGAGGGGAACCCCACGCCGGAAAATTCATATGAGCTTTCTCAGCCAACACCTGGATCGAACACGAGACTTCCAGCGTTTCTGCAGCGTCCTTGCCCTGTTGTTTTGCAAAACGGGAGTCTGGCAAGGACACTGTCTAGTTGTTCGGATGGTACGAAAACCGACGCCCAGTGTACTTATTGGCGTTTTCGTAAAAGATCCTTTGACATTGGAATTCGCGATAGGAGTAGGCCGTAGTGCCGCTGCCCGGGCAAATTTCCTTCATAGCATTTTATTATCGTATCGCAGATCAAATGGTAATTCAGTTCATATATATACAAATAACGAAACAAACAAAGAAACAATGCTGTAGATCACGCGGCCACCCACGAATAATCAAGCACATTTCATCTAGTAGATCATGTAGGAAGGACAGTGTGTCGTAAACAACAAGCAACTTGTCAGAGAAAAACATATTGAGACAATGATGTAGATCACACGTCAACCTATCATTGTAGCTCCATACAGGTGAATCAAACACCCACTCTTCAGGCAGGCAGGGGCGGGTCCAGGATTTTCAGCTAGGTGTGGTGGACGGGGTGGTTGTCCCGACATTCCAGATCTCATTATTAAAGTGCGATGAGCCGAAGCAGCAAAACCGCCCACGACAGAGGGTGTGGGTGGCGTCTCCCAGAAAACCGCTCACAACAGGGGGTGGCGTCTCCCAGAAAACATGTAAAATGGAACGTTGTAGATGCCAATCCCGACTTTTAAGGGCCCCAACCCTCCTGACCCAACCTCCTGACCCCACCCACGCGACACGGATTACAGCTGAAGAGATGACAAAATTTAGTGTCTGTAAAGGAAAGTAATTTAGCAGAGCTCTATGTCCATTTTTATTGTTTTATTTGGATAGTTGAAGGATAGATATTAACACGATCGATTTCCATTCAACCAAACAAACCACCTTCTGTAAACATATTTATGGTACCAACAATTTTCTCCATTCTAATAACAATCTTAAAGATCAATTTCATAGCTTACAATTAATTAATAGAGCACATCATCAACCTAGCCTTAAAGAAAAATACTTAAAGGAGCTTTATTTCAAACTACCTAGTAATGTTACACATGCAAATGTCGCAAGCATATGTCCAATCTGTTTCACAGAGCTATTGCGAATACTAATAGCTCTGTAAAAGATGACTTCTATATTATTAATATTATTATTATTATTATTATTATTACAGCATATTTATAGTGCACCCTTTCATATAATATGTTCAGGGGCACTTTACAAAGTGACAATTTAATCATAAATAAACAACAAGATTATGGACATGTTAACGATTGTATACAGAGTCAGTTAAAAGCCTGATTACATAAATGTATTTTAAGTTGTTTTTTTAAAAGAATATAGAGATGTACAACATCTTAAACTAAATGGTAGATTATTCCATAAAACAGGTGCTTGATAACTAAAGGAACGCTGACCATAAGAGACTAGTTGAACAGTTTTGGGCTTTAAACGTAGTTTATCTGATGAACGTACAAGTGGTGATTAACAAGTAGTGAGTCTAACACAGAAAGAAACAAGAAATTCAAATCAAATGCATTTATATTTCAACATAGTCCCCCTTCAATGTAATACACTTCTGCAATCGGTGTTGCAGAGCCTTTATTCCAGTTCTGTAGAAGTCTTTGTCTTGGGTGTGTAGAAAATCATCCACGGCGGCAATGACGTCATCGTCAGACGGGAAATGCCTACCGGAAAGACATTTCTTCAGAGCAGGAAACAGATAGAAGTCTGAGGGAGCTAAATCAGGAGAGTAGGGTGGATGCTGAAGAAGTTTAAAACCACAGTCATGGATTGCTGACATGGCAACAGCTGATTTGTGCACTGGCGCATTGTCCTGGTGGAATATCACACCTTTGGTCAGCTTTCCTCGTCTTTTGGTCTTAATTTCTTGCCTCAACTGCCTTATAAGTGCTGCATAGTATCTACCGTTAATTGTTTGACCCTTTTGGAGGTAATCCACTATGAGAACACCCTCAGAATCCCAGAATACTGAGGCCATCACCTTTCCTGCCGATGAAACAGTCTTTGCCTTCTTTGAGGTCGGCGACGTCACATGTTTCCACCGTTTTGACTGCTCTTTTGTTTCTGGCTGAAAGTGGTGGACCCAAGTTCCATCCATAATAACAATTTGTTTTAGGAAGTGGTCAGGATCGGTTTCAAATATGGCTAGATTCTCTTCTGACATGATGTGTCTTGAACGCTTTTGATCAGGCGTCAAAAGCTTTGGAACCCATCCTGCTGAAACCTTTGTCATTTCCAAAGTTTCAGTGATAATAGAATGAACTCTCTCCTGGCTAATACCAACTACCCCAGCTATGAATCGTTCAGTAACTCGCCGGTCATTCATTATCAGATCATGGATTTTTTGTACCATTTCAGGTGTTGATACAGTTTTTGGTCGACCA